CAGGCGATTATCAGGTGGACTATTTGATCCAGCCCAGCCAGCTGCTCCACGTCAGTCCGTTAGTCGTCTCACAGCGGTAACGTACACCCACGGGAAGGCGGTTGTGAAAACCCTCATTTACCTGAACAAACGCTAATCTTTTCCTTTGCGCTCAGGTAACAGCTCGGCGTGTTTTTGAGCCACCTGCCTGTCTGGAGTTTGGATCGCCTCCGGTACCAATCACCTCTACTTTCCTGGAGCTCCCCCGCGGACCCTCACCCCTCCCTCCGGCCCCCGTGGACCCTCACCCCTCCCTCCAGCTCCCACGGCCCCGCTTTGACTGTAAGACTCACACTCTCCCCCACGTATGCTGCTATTTCCCCGCTCCCCAGTAACTCTCTTCCTCTTTCTGTTGCAGCCTCCCACAGTCCCGATTATGGTGTTCCTTGGTTTTTCTAGTTTCTCGCGTGTTTTCCTTTGACCCTTCTGGGACACCTTTAGTTGAAATAAAGTTTATTTATCGTACTCCTGTGCGTGTTGTCTCTGCTTCTGGGTCCAGCTTGTGTACTGAACTTCGGTTCATGACAGAGTCAGCATTTGACCTCTTTTCAGCTGAAAAGCAGGGCCTCAAACTTGGGGGTACCAGTTATTTATGAGTGTTTGATCAGTGAAAGCAAAGTGCAATCTAAAAATGTACATTGATAAAACATATCAAAGTGAACACAATCTCAGAATCTCTACCAGAATGCCTTTCTGTTCTTTAAAGAATTGCATATCTCCTGTTTGCAACCTTCCTGTATATTACTGACATCTTTTGGTGACATCTGCTTATTGTCTTTGGAAGTCAGTTTGGCCCCAATCCACTGAGATTTTAATGGGGATTTTCATGTCTCATTACCAAAGGTTAGAGCTTGATAAGCTGACAGGCATTTGCACTTACATTTTTGATAACACAGTGCATTTTGACAGGTGACTGACAAAAGATTCGGGTGGTAGTAAAACTACCTTTTGTCATAAAACAGCTGTGTGCAGGCAGGATAGGACCAAAACTGTGATGGTCCTAGGTTGGTGACCCGGTGTTTTTTTGTACTTTTAGTTTTTGATTCCACCATGGTTGATCATGGTAGTGTTTTGGTTTCTTTATCAGTATGTCTAGCTCCTTAGCTCTTTAGCATTTCCTGAGTTCTAGTTTTAGATTTTGTTATCTGGCTTCCCGTGTTCTGTGTTTACTGTTTTACTTTGAAGGTCCATGTCTCGTATTTTGTTTTGTTTCCTCCCCGGCTCGTCGTGCTTAATTAGGTTCAGCCACCTCTCCCTTCTGTGTGCAGTTTCCTCCTGTGCTCGTCGTTGGTCCGTCTGTGTTTCCCTGCTTATCATCCCGTGTTTCCACACGGCTTGCCTTGCAAACCGTGACAAAAACACAGACTTACTGAGAGAAACAAAAACTCAAAAAAACAAAACAAAAAAGCCCACAGCTTTATTTGCTGAATGAATAAACAGTTCAACACTAAACTGGGAAATCTAAACAACTGATCACACTAAGAAATAGATGGAGAATCACACGCAACTATCAGGGACTGAGTGAGATGCTGACATAAATACACAGAAAGATAACGAAAAAATGAGAACATACAAGGAGCACAGCTGACATGAATAATCATAATGAGACAGGGGAAGCAAAACTGAACAGAACAAACATGGAAACATGAGACCTTCACAGGAAAAAGGATAAAACAGGAAACAGAGGAACAGGATGCACGAGTGGAGGAGAGGCAGATGAGA